TTGCCATGGAGAGAGGATCCAGGTAGATCAAAGAGCCCTTTCCCTGGTGTCTGGACTCCCAGGCTTCTCTCTCTCTCTCTTTTTTAAAGATTTTTTTAAGTCATCTCTACACCTAGTGTGGGGCTTGAACTTAGAACCCTGAGCTCAAAAGTCTTGTACTCTACCGACTGAGCCAGCCAGGCACCCCTCAGCCTTCTCTTTCTAATAAAAATAACAATCAACCACGTCTAGGGCACTGCCTTGGGGGGTTTACTTCCATTATGTCATTTAAGCTGCACGAGAAGTCCGAGGGGTGGATTTTACGACCCTTACTTTATAAAGCAGTAATCCAAGCCTCAGAGAGGGTTAATGCCTCACCCAAGGTTATCAAGCTAGTAAGATATAGAACCAGAATTTGAATCCAGGGCTGTCAGACTCCAAAGTCTGGCTCGCTCGCAAACAGGAAAGACAACCTTTGATAAAACAAGAGCGTTCTACACACACAGTAGGCACACGAGAAAGAGCATGGGCTGCAGGTGTTACCCAGAACTGATATAAATACAGCCCCAGAGTAGTCAGAAGCCCTGAAACCATGCGAGCATCACGGGGGGCCAAACTCTGAGCATGGGATCCCTGGCGAAGAGCCTCCTTCCACCTTTATATCTGTAACTATTCATGGTTACCAGAAATAATCCCTCTCATAGGGAGGACTCTATTTTTTTTGCCTCCTTGGGGAGCATGCATGGACCTTAGGACTTTGTATGAGGACAGTAGTAACTATGAAAAAGGAACAAAAAAAGCCACTTCCCAGAAGGCAACAGTATAAAAATAATTTTTATTTACTACTGTAAATAAAGTAGTGCAAAGAGAAGTTTGGACCCACAATATTGCATTACTGATTTATTTACTACCTTAGCAGCATACAGCATACAGACAGTCTGCTCTTCCTCTTTCCCCCCCAAACCCCCCCCTCTCTCACACACACACACACACATACATGCACACACACACACACACACACACACACACACACCCTCACACAAACTCAGGCAGGCATAAGGGGTAGGGACGGAACTATGAGCTAAAGGCTTATTTCCTGCATATTCCCCTGCTGCCGGTCTATTCTAATGGGTAATTCATGGAGAAGACTACAGTTAAATACTAAGGATTTTCTAAATGTTATTTTATGGATTTGATTGAAAAGTAAACGATATCCAACAATGTCATTAAATGATTCGGAAGCCCGACCCTAGAAAAATCCAAGGAGAAAAATGTAAACCCATTTACAAAGCCATCACCCTCCCTGCATTTCCAGCCATAACCTATTTATTTCAAGGTGCCTTAGAACCGCCGGGTCTTGGAAGTCAAATTGAAACCCGTCTTTTGGACTTTGAGGAGCTGGACTGTGGCAAACACACATACCGAAATATTCTCTAACTGGTAGACAAGTCACAATTTTCTGTTCTTTAATAACAGGGAATGAACAGGGGCTAAGATTTTTTTTTAATGCATCTCAGTGTGTAAGGATTCAGATGGGCCACAGGGCAAACTCTGACTCCCCATACACACATCTGCAGTGACCCAATTAACCTCCTCAACAGGCCCCTGTGATCGGGAGTCTCCTTGTATCTGGCTGATAACCTTTGGTTTAGCCACTGCCTGCTCTGGGTACTTCCTCCTAATTTGATTAAAACAAACAAACAAAAAGACACCAAGTGCAAAATTCGCATCCAGTTGACAAGACACGTATGTAAGGTGTTTATCAGTATAATGCCCTAGCCCCAGCTTTCCAATACCAGCTGTTGGAAGGACTGTCTCTCATCGGGAGAGACCTGGAGCGCACAGTTCACTCTCAAGGCTCTGTGTTATTAGTGACCGTGGGCTGGTCCTGAGCGGAGGCATCTGCAGCTGGAGTCACAGCCGGACTGGTGGATGGGGCCGTGGGGTCTGAGGAGGCCCGGGCTGGTGTGGGACGGGAACCACTGGCTGCAGAGACACATGTACGACAGGTGTTGAATGTTTAAACCAGTGTGTGCAGGACACACAACCACACCTAGACCCTAGCAAGCCAGGAGAGAAGCTTCTAGTCCAGTGGCCCTGACCGGATAAGTAACTTTACGCCCGTTACGTAGGTTACTCGGACTTTGGTGCCCCTTCTGTAACATGGCAGACTGGAACAGATGTGCAAAGATCTCTGCCAGTTCTGACCTCCTGGGATGCGAAGTTCTGCATTTGTATTGTGACTTCCAGGCAGATATTTTAGTTAGAAAGAAAGAAAGAAAGAAAGAAAATGAAAGAAAGAAAGAATGAAAGAAAAAATGAAAGAAAGAAAAAAATGAAAGAAAGAAAGAAAGAAAGAAAGAAAGAAAGAAAAGAAGGAAGGAAGGAAAGAATAACAACTCTCTATGTCTATGTTTCCCGGTCTATGTTTCCTGTGGTCATCTCTCTCTCTTTTTTTTTTCTTTCATCGCATTGATGTAATGTGAGCCATGAATTAATTATACCAATCAGAAAGGAGTGTTTGTTTTATTCACATTCTTATTCCAGTTGGATGATGTACCAAATTTGGTTTAAATTATGTTCTTTAGATAAAATGTGGATAAGTTTTGGAAATCGTGACTACTCGGTTTAATTATCTACCTTTAGTAAGGAGGCTAAACCACCATAAATATTAGGGAAGCTTATGAAGTTTTGTACTTTATGTCAGCGCTTTTCAAATAGGGCAATTTTT